GCTGTACCGATCTACCCACCTCAGGGCGACTTCCAGTGCGTCAGCCAGGAACAAACCGTAGGAGTGGTCACAAGCGTAATGGGTGAATATCTTGAACGACCTCTAGGTGCACATCAACGTTCTTCTTTGAGTCTTGTCAGACCGATGGAGGAGGGCCAGCTGCCCTACAGAGAGGCAGGCACAGATCACGCCGCTCGATGCCGCAGAAAACAGCAAACAGGCCAATCATATCTGCTTCTATCCATAGCCTTGGCACGTCTCACACACGATTTGCCAAGCTACTTGACAACTTTTGGCAACTATACGCGGCCCGCAAAAGGCTGCTCATTGGCTGCAAATATGCCAATGTCACAGAAACACGATTTTGTGGGCGCTGTGGCTGGCTCGGTCACACAAACCCCCATCAGCCCCTCACCAGCGGTGGTGAAGACCTCTTCATGTCGTGGTAAAGGCTTCTCAGCCTCTCGCTTGGCTCAAGTACCGCCTTTCTTTTCTTGTGTTGTGGGCCTAGGACGAAATGAATGCTTCCTTTCCTCTACAAGACTGTCTTCCAGCCATCGCCCACCATGTGATCGACTTGCTTCTGTGGCCGATCCTCCCGATATTCAGCGCCGTATCCGAAATCTTTAATTCTCTCGTGCAAGCAGTTGTAGCAACAGATATGTCTCGGATAGGAGGCAACCTGGTCGAGATCTCGGCCGTGTCCACCATCATAGGCGCCCCCATAGGGGAAGCGCTGATTCACGGCCTCAAGGCGGCGTGCGGAATTGTCTGGGCTCCTATGAGCTGTTTCGGTCAGATTCATGTGGTTAAAGCGTGTCTGTCTGCCACGGTGCCAGACTTTTTACGCGAGTCGATGGGCCTCCGCAATCAGTTCGTCGACCATGCCATCGGAGTCCTCCTCCCAGTGAACCGGTTCCGACAAGCGCGCAGCCGTATCGATTTCGGAGACGCGGGTGCCATCGAGATCGTCCCATGCCGACACTGGGTCGGTCGATGGGCCTTGACATGGACGGGAAGTACAGACGGCTGGCCGAATCTTGCGCCGCTCATCTCCCTACAACAGTGGAAGCGCCGGTGTGGCATGATGACAGCGCACGAGGCCGCGCAAATGGACGCAATCACCCGAATCAAGACGTCGGAGGCGCACGACGACGTCTACAGAGCACATGCGATTTACACATTGGATAAAAATGCTCAGCTGGCGCTGGACACGGTCCCGGCGGCGGAGAAGGGATCGCCTATTGATATCCACCGTTTTATTCCCGACCAAGGGGGCCTTCCATCGCCCTGGAGAGATTGGTTCTGGCTTTCGCTCTCACTAGTCAAGCTGATAGAGGTCTTCACACTTCGGAGAGTTGGTAGTGAAGGAGTCTGGGCGTGGACCATGGCGGGCTGGGCTCATGCCTTTGTCGCTGCGGTCCTGCTGCAGGTAAGCGGCCTGGGCCGCGACAGTCCTTTCAAGCGCACAAGGCATATGGTCGCGGGTATCCTACCGTCTCCACTTCGCATGGGCGAGCAAGGAAAGATTGTCTTGGGAATCCCTGCCAATATCCGGCGTCATACGCTGTGGCGGATCGTGCTGGGGGTCGGCATCTGCGTCAACCTGGCAGGTTTGCTGGGCACTTTTATTCGGCTGGACGGTGAGCCGACCGAAGCGCTGTACTTTTGGCTCGGATTCCAGGTTCTATGGCTTGTTATGCGGACCATCGTCTACTACTTTGCCGCAGGAGGAACAGCCATCCAGCAAGGAATCATGGCGTGTCGCCGGTGGGATGAGGCGCCGCCAGAAGACCGGCAGCAGGTCTTGTTGCTTCTCAATGAATTGGCAAGTCATCAAGCATCGACTCATCCACGGGGATTCCATGCGTACCTGTTCGACTGCATGTCCTTCGAGCAGCTTCGCCAATTCTTTGTCCGAGTGGACTGGACATTGAACCCAAAACTTCCACCGTTTCCAGCTGAGACACGGCTGAACAGCATCGCCATTCATGCTGTCACTGGTGACCCTTTGATCCGGTGCGCCGTCTGGCAACAGGGAGTGGCTCTGGATAATTCTGAGCTGTATGACTCCTGCATCACGTTCGTCGACCTAGCCTCCAGTGACAAGCAGGGGTACTTGATGGCTGTCCCCTGTGTGCGAGTGTATTCCTGTCACTGCGGGGGTAAAGAAGGCCACGACCGCGGGAACAGTCACCCCGACTGCGGCAAAATTGAGTGGTGGTATTTTTTCCCAGTCGATATACAGAACGGCGTCGGTGGTCGCTGGCTAGTTGCACATAGCAAGAAGGGAGTTGGACAGCTGGAGGCAGAGATTCTTGATGAAGATGAGCTCGATCGGAGACTCTTTACGGGCTGGTGGAAGATTAGCATTGCGGGGATCAGAGCCTTACGAAAGACATGGGAGGTTTCAGTGCAGGCTGCAAAGATCACATTGTCTTTTACAGGGGGGATGACAGAGTGAACTGATGATAATGAAGTCGATGACCATAACGACCATAATGATGACAAATAATGAGGATGATGATGATTGCCGACGACGGGATCCGGGTTCCGATGATCGGGGTTATACATAAACGACTTGATGTGCCCCACAACCAGAATCATAAAGCGAAGACTTGATTAATGTACTCTCATAATGATCACTGGAATTTCTCATATCAATCTCCTGGTTCCACCAGGGACATTAAATAATGCACACACATTCTATGTGGATACATTGGGGCTGACTGCTACACCCGTCCCCCAGTTACAGAAAGACACAACTGCCTGGTAATTAGATCGACTCCTCTCTGGGCGGACTGTTGCTAAGCGACCAGGTTCAATATAACATCAGACGGAAAGCAGCAGATCCACATTGCATTCGGACAGAATGAACCGGATTCTCCTCGCCATCCCTGCCTTCGTGTAGGCTCATTAGACGACCTGCAAAAGCTGCAGCAACGAATATATGATCACCATCTTCGGGGCGGCCCGGCTGCTCCTCTACAGGCGGATCCACCGGGTGCATGTTCAGGTGAGGATAGAACCTGTGTGGATGGACATGAAACTGTTACTAATCATAAGACTATAGGGGAAAAGGGGGTCGAGTACCCGACACGGTTCTTCGCCAGAGATTACGCCGGAAACCGCCTTGAGTTCAGTTTATAACTAGGAAAGGCAGCGACACTTGTTAGAGACTTTGTCTCTGTCCTTTCCATCAGAATCCAGTGTGAATACAAAGTGTGCGCCTGCCGAAAGACTCGGAATGCGAGTCAATTGCACCGGTGTTATAGGAGACAACCTGGTCAACAATACACCGCATTTACAATATGTGTTGTTAAAAACATATGGTCCCGCAACCTTTCCAGCTTAACATTCATAGGTTTCAGATAAAGTAGCCGGATAGATCAAGCCTGCCTAGTCAACTTCAGTAGTGCACTATAGGGTCCTAATTCCTGGTCCATGGAGAACAGCCCAGTGGGCAGTGGATGCTGCTATTTTATTGTCTTCTACGAGCTAAGAGAGCTATAATCTTTATGAAGTGAGTTGAGCAGATTTGAGAATTCTGGAGGAATGAAGCTTTATCGAAAAGTAATGATCATGACATTTAGCAATCCTATACTAACTCTTCTGCCAACAAACAAGCTCTGTTACATAATTCCCTCCGGCAATCATTGATACAAGGCATACTTTTTGGTTCCAGTCTTATCTGTTCCCTGTGACTGGCGTCATGCGCTCTGCTTACGGTTATCCCTTCCGCCCTTGAGCGGACCATCGCTGACCCTCTTCCTTGCTTATCTGCCAGACTTTAACTTTCTATTGTTGTCCAGACGTAGACTCTTCCCAGCTTTCACTTGTCCATCCTCCAGAAGTGCGATTGGGACCTGAGGTTCCAGCTCCCAAGGTGGGGCAGCGGTGGTCGATGCACTCACCACTTGCCAGGGCACAGTGCTCCCCATTGTAAACCTCGCCTTCTTTGCATTTGAGCTCCTGCCGTGATACGCAGACATGCGCAATCGAATTTCCCCTGCTTTGAGGTGGTTAGGTAGCCGATCGAAGCTTATGTGCGATGAAACGGCATCCGCATGTTGAGTCTGATCGGCCCGCTTTGAGTAACTGCTGGAAATACAGCAGTTTGTGTAAGAAATCAACTTTTCATACATGGTCAGCTGGCCTCAGACTGGGCGGAGTTATACGAGCTTCAGTTGCTTCCATCTCTGGCCTTGGAGACCTACCTCATATTACTTGTTTTGTGATCCGGCCGCGCAGATATACCCGGCGATCGTTTCTTTCTTCCCACCAAGAAGACCATTTATTTACAGCTTGTGCGTTCCGAGGAATCGCGAGAACCAGGATTCGTATACGCAGCCTTCTACATATTTTTCAAGATGTGGCCACCAGAGTGGAGACATCGTGCCAACCGTTCGAGGTTGCTATACTGGAAACGCTCTTCAAGAGCTATCAACGATTCTACGACTTTCACGGCTGGCTCCGGAAATGTATGAGAGGCTTCAACGTGATCGACGCTATGGCATAACGTTGCCTTGGATGAGCAATGCGAAGGATGCGTAGGAAACACTGTTTGTTTGGTGAGAAGGGCAATGTCTATCTGAGCATGGCTTCAAAGAATTAACCTACTATAATAGGCGCAAGGACGAGGAATTCATCAAAGTTTTCCTCAAGATGTCGCCAATGGTTGGCAACGGCAAGAATGAATGGCATCCATTTTGCCGCGTTGGTTTCTGACCAAACGAATGCAATACCGATTCTTCTCTTGCACGGCTGTCCAGTTATTCTCCGCAATCTCAATCAGCGAGTCCATTTTGTTTGCTAAACATGATATAGGGAGCTTTTGGAATTTCTGTCGATGTTGGACATGATCCGAAAGAATTATCCAGCTTCGAAGCGCCATGTCACCTAATTGTTGCCGTCCCTTGTTGGGTACGCATTGCCCTCCCAGTCTCCGATCTGCAAAGATTTCAGAATTGGGGACGGTGCTCGTATCCTCGACAAAAGTCATGGATATTCTGGGCTTCAACTCCGAATATGTTGTTCATGGCGGAGATTTAGGAAGTGATACTGGGAGAGTACTGGGCACAAGGCACGCAAGTTGCAAAGGTGTGTCGAGATCTACCCCGATGGACAGTACTAGACCCGCTAATCGATGCCATACTAGCTGTTCACAGTATGTTGCTAGATTTCTCCCCTGTTTCTGTTATTAACCGACCATTATAGTCTGCTTCTGTTACTTGGCCGAACCGTTAAGTTCGCAGCCGCTGGAACTCGACGATGTTGACCGCATTGGCCTCGAAAGAGGTCGCAAGTTTGCGAGCATGGGCAATCCGTATACGAAAGAGCATTCATACAATGGAGATCTACTGCAGACGAGCCGTGTCACCGGCACCGTGCGACTGCGGGGCTACACATGGGTTGGACCCATCTCGTCCGGATTCAGAGCAGCGCAAGATGAACGGACTACCAGGCCAGATAATGTGTGGACCCTCTAAAATGGGTGTTGTATGTTGTATTTGTGGACTGGATTGCCTGGTGTTTCTGCTGACAGAACGTGAACGATTCATGATTGACGACATATAAGAGGATTATAATCTCATCTGCTACTCTATTGCATTGTGAGCATCATTTTCATTGCTCGTGTTCCTGACTTCCAATGTGCCAAGAGTGGATTCATGAATATGACTCACTCCTCCATGTCGGCCTTAATTATCGCCGCGCGACGCGCCAACAACGCCACGGTCCGAAGACTGGCATGTCTCTCACGATGACAGGCCTGCTTTTACAGAAGACATAAATCAAACACTCTCGCTCATTAGTGAGAGGCAAGGTAATTCACCAGTAAAGCCGAGAATCCCCTCCTACCATACACAACCCACCCAACATGCATTTCGCTATGCTCCTCTTCCCCGGCTTCGAAGCCCTCGACGCCTTCGGCTCCCTGGAAGTCCTCAACGTCCTCTCCGAAAGAAAACAGATCTACCTCTCCCTCCTCGCATCAAGCCTCGCTCCCGTCTCAACTCAATCCCCGGATCCAGCCGCACATCGGGTGAACTCCATCTGCGCCCAGGAAGTAGTTCCAACGGGTACTTTCGCCGACTTTTTAAAGGACGCACCCGCACCTGATACCGCCAAGGGCAAGATAGACGTGCTCGTCGTGCCCGGCGGCGCGGGGACCCGCTTCCCCCACACCATCGATCCCGTCATCGAGTTCGTGCGGGCAATCGCCCCGTCGGTGAAATACATCATGTCCGTGTGTAACGGCGCGGGCGTGTTAGCGCGGGCGGGCGTGCTGGATGGTAGACGAGCAACGACTAATAAGATGCTTTGGGGGCCGACGACGGCGCTGAGGGGGGAGGTGCGCTGGGTCAAAGAAGCTAGGTGGGTGGCCGATGGGAATGTGTGGACTTCTTCTGGGGTGAGTGCGGGGATCGATATGATGTTGGCTTTTGTGAGGGACATGCATGGGAAGGATGTGGCTGGTGAGATAGCTCAAGAGATTGAGTATGTTTGGGATGTGGAGGAGGATGGAACCAAGGATCCGTTTGCTTTTGCTGCTGTTTGAGGATACATGCGTGGCTTGCAACCACAGTAGAGATCAATCAGAAGAATATCTTTCCGCACGCAACTCGACAATAATGCAGTCTACCATTTATAGCGCATCAACGTTGATAGTTTTCACAGTCGGACTCCTTCCCAGTCCACTGGGCATCCCTCCTTGGCTGTAGACCATTTCTTGCAGCATCAACACCATCCCAACCGCCTTAGGGTCCTCTGTAAGCTTGAGATGTCGTGGGGCAAATATCTGGCATATTTTACTAGCGACCAGTAATAGCTGGCGACATTGGTCATGGTCTTGAGAAGTTTGTACGGCATCTTCGAGCCGGTCAATCCCGTTGACAAGAAGCATCTAAGAGGCGGACTACGTACATAATACCCAAAAACAACCTTTCAGCAGATTCCCTCGTTCTTCTGGCATAAATAAATAGAGCCCTAGTGCAGACATCATGAGAGCAATACAGAATTCATAATAACTGCCCGCTTATTGTATCTCCAACAGTAATCATACTGAGATAAGTCTCTATACTGTAGAGCAGTATGGAAGCTCTTTGCCATTCCTCAGATTACATTCACCACACAGTCAAGGTTTAGTCATCCTCGTCGAACTCTGCTTTACTAATGAGATTTCTCGACGATATTCCCTTCGTTGTTCACAGTAAACCGGACTTCCCACCCTTCCCCTCCTAGCTCTCCCTTGGCAATCTGAAGAAATGCTTCGGCATACTCTGGTCCATCAACCTGTGGTGGCCCGCCTTCTGGAGAGGTTTTTGCGACGTAGTAAAATCTGCAGGTATATCACAGTCATTTCGGTGCTATTCTACAAGTATGGTGGCTCACTCACCGCAGTCCTCTTTCCTTATACGCCTTATTCGCTATATTAATTAGATAGGCCAGAGCGCTCTTCCCAGTTCCTAGGGTAACAAAAAGAGGATTAGGCATGAAGGGAGTCAGATTTCCAGTTGCGATAAAAGCTGGAGCAACGGTGCGGTCTTGCTCCTTCAATTGTAAGAACCCGGATGTTGCATGGTGGAGTGCAGTATAAGCTCCTGTAGCATTGACAGCGATATCTTGCTGAAAAGCGTCTGGGGCAATGTCGAATGGATTGGTAGGATCTGCCGGGAAGGTGGCAAGCGCAGCTAATATGATAAAATTAGAAGTGACAGCCAACGACAAATGACCAAGACTGCACCGTCATAGTTTCTCACCATTGTAAACGACTAGCTGGGGAATTCCAAGGTTCTCAGTCACCTCTTTGAATGCAGAAGCAACTGACGATGGCTGAGCCACATCCACAGCAACCGAGTACATGTCTTTGAGTTCGGGATCCTGCAGGCTCTGAGGATTCCGTTTTCCGATTGCAACTTTATACCCATCTTTTAGGAAGCGCTTGGCGACCGAGATGCCGATACGGGGGCCAGCTCCCAGGATAAACACAACCTTTGATGCGGAAGCCATGCTTTATGCGAACATAGGAGGGCTATATATTTAGACACGTGTTGATGATCGGAATCACCAAGTCTGCAACTCGGTCGTTACCCGACTGTGCGACCTTTAATATATAAGACCCGTCTCATGGGTATTGAATCCGAGATCACATACTTGGATTTCTAAGCACCGCTGTTAGTCGGGGAGCGTGAGGTCCGATGTCTCCGCCTGTGGCGGAGGACTCCATACTATGCAGGGTTTATAAGCATGTCCTGGCGGTTGACCACTAAAGTGTTAACGAAATGTTTGATGATGTGTGATGAACCATGTAGGTTTATTATTACATCGTATTAGCTGACGAAATTGCAAGGACTTTGGGTAAGTGTGAATGCTCGGTTGCCCTCGCTGGTATCATCTAGGAGAACCATTATTCTTGTAGACCATGCATGGCCTGCAAGCACCGCGGTCTCTTCCGTGTTCCTGTATTATTCCGGCCAACCCTTCACGATTTAACTGCCAATCCTTTCAGGTATGGAGGACTGGTCGCCATCCCCTGCTCTCCGGTTCGCATTATTCGTGACCCAAGTGGTATGAATTTTACCCCTTGTAGCTACTTTCAAACTAGTCGCGCTACCTTTAGGGTGACACTGGACACCTACTGGAATGGGAATGACAATAAGGAGCTAAGGTGGCTATCTTGGTTCGTCTATCTGTGGTCAGATGTGTAATGCTAATTGATGTCTGTCAGGCATTTGCCTCCAGGAGGCCAGCCATTCTTAACTGCCAGAAATCAAGTCACCACACGAGACACTGATATATATTTCTAAATGAGCCTTGCACGATAGTGGGCTCATAGTACTACATCAATTTGGATTTTTTGCTAGGCTTTGCCCTCTTCTTGCTGCTACCGCTGCCTCCAGGCCAGCCCTGACCTCGACGTAAACAGCCCTCGGTACGGGCTGACAGATGTGACCCGGCACAGGCCAGACTGGTTTCGGCCAGACCGGGTGTGTAAGGTTGATATCTGCGCCGGCATCGACGAGCAAACGGACGATCTCAGAATGACCCATCTCCATCGCTATCTGTACGACCCTTCCGCAGGAGAAGTTGGCTGGGATTGTCGAATCTCTGGTTTCATATCCATCGCGACGACCGCCTAGATCGTGGTACGCGGCATTGGCATCAGCACCGTGTTCAAGGAGCAACGCTACCAGAGCCACGTTGCCTAGTCTAGCAGCCCGGACGAGAGGAGGCGTCAAGTCCTCCACTTCTAGTCCTCGCGAAATATTAGAGTCGTAGTCCCCAAAGAAGGGATGAGGCGGAAGAGGCCGATCGGATTCTTCAAAGTCACATCGCACGCGATGTGCAAGCAGGGTATTGGCGGTCATGATGTCCTGCTGCTCCACTGCGAGAGCGAGGGCTCTGGTGCAGGAGACGCGGTCGGTCTTCTGTACAAGAATCTCAAGCAGCCTCTGAGACTTTCTTTTCACTGCCTTAAGCAGCGCCGGTCCGTCTCGCGGGGAGATGGTGAAGTTCGCGTCAGCGCCGTTCTCCAGGAATAGATTAACGAGATCGAGCCTTTCGTGCTCTACGGCCCATTCTAGTGGTGTAACGGGTATAATGTCCCGAGTATCTGGTCTTATCCCTATACCGTCGGGCGTTTGGTCATAGTCGAGAATCCGCACGTTCAGATTTGTACTGTATCTGAGGATTTCAGAAAGCAAATGCTGGCTGTATCCAGCTTTCAGTGCAGCTGCGAGTGCTTCTTCTTTCTGGCGCTCACTAGGATGTCCAACTGCTGGGGGCAACGTCTTATCCTCCCCTCCAGCTTCGGGTTTGGCCGTAACCCTTTCGTCAGTGAACCGATTCTTGAAGTAAAACTCTTGCTTTGTGGGCTCCCACGTTAACTCCCATCCATCATCATCCCCGCGATCCTGTGAGTCCGAAGCATTCTTGTCTGCGGCGTGGCTTTTACCTTGGTCATTGACTGAACCTATTGGTATCCACAAAGGAAACTCAGTGGTGCCTATTTGCTCGTACACCTCTCCTTCAAATTCTCGTTGCTCTCGTTCTGGGCGTTTGAAGGGCTGGTATATGCAAGGCTCCCGCCAGAAGATCACTGCGGCGTCGTGGGGTTTGAAGGGAGTTGTAAATTTCCGCTGGAGGCATTCATGCCACGTCATAGCGTGGAAGAATGGGTGGGCTTTCACTTCGGCGGCTCCGTTTGCACCTAAGCGTTCTTTAGGATCTTTATCAAGGAGTTTTGTTAAAATTTCCCTCGCAGTCGATGGCAGGCTCTCAAGTAGCTGTAGGTCTTGGTTAATGATCTTATGCCGGCGCTTGCCAGCGTCCTTGTGATAAAAAGGGGGCATGCCCATCAACATTTCATAGAGAATGATCCCCAAAGCCCACCAATCCGCTGCCGGGGAAGCCTCTCGGTCGTCAAGAAGAGCCTCAGGAGCTGGATACTTGGGCGTGCCGGGCAAAATGTGAACTCCATCCCCTAATT